TTTTTACTTTTTTTCTTTTTTTCTTTTCTTTTCTTTTTTTTCTCTCTTTTTTCTTCCTTTTTTTCCTTTTTCCTTTTTTTTTTCTTCTTTTTTTTCCTTTTTCTTTCCTGGCACACGTATTTGCACAAGAGCCTCTTCCAGAGGAGACCTAGAGATCTCCAACAGAAGAACGACCTTTGGTCACTTCTGGAACAGCCTCCCAACAAACAACAGGGAACGTCCCACTTATTGCACATTTAAAAAGCACCTTAAACAGGCTTTTACTTTTATTTATCAGCCAAAACCAAACCTCTTCTGGTCTTTTAGTTGATTGGAAATGGCTCCTGAAGGTCTAACTTTGAGTTTGGGTAAAGCAGGAAGCTAAATCTGGAGATCGAACAGGCTGAGAAGTTTGGTCTGATCAGAGGAACTCTTTTCCTGTCCCCCGGTCAGGTTTGGCATTAACCGTCTTACTTCTGTAACAAAAATAAACAACAATAATAATGATTAATAATTAATAATCTAGTTTATGATTGATTTTATTATGTTGTCCTGTGTTCTTATATGTCTTACTCTACTGCTGCCTCTTGGCCACGTCTCCCTCGAAAAAGAGATTCTATCTCAAGGGACTTCCTGGTAAAATAAAGGTTAAATTTAAAATAAATAGGTTTTTGTTTTTCTTTATGTAAGTGCATGCATAAATATTCATATGTATGTGTGTTGGATTCATAATAATCTTAAATAAAGAATGTTCAAAAAAAAAAATTTAAAATAAATAAATAAATATAGCAGTATTGGATGATCAGGGGAAGCTTCTCATCCTGAAAGGCCTCATTTGGCAAAGCAAAAGAGTCGGGCAGAGCACGAAACTCAGAATACAACTCTGTTTCCATAAAGATAAACACGACAAGCGGTAAAAAAAAAAAAATAAATTTAATTTAAAAAATTCTATCTGTAAGCTTTTAAAGAGGGGCAGAAGAAGTAGTTCAGTGTGAACGTGGACCACGTTGGTTCAGTGTTTGGTCCCTCTGAGGACTCTGAAAATGGGTCTCCATCTAAAACTTCATCAGTTCTACCTTTTTTTTATCAGACTTATTATTTTTGTTTAATTATTTGATTGCAGATCAACACCAGAGGAAGTCCGTTGAGGCTAAAACAAACCACTTTTCCTCGGTGTGTACTGTCTTCTAACTCCTCCTTTATCTCTGACTCTTCCAGGTGGAGCTTCCCGGACCTATAAGGAGCCCATCATCTTGTCTGGGCCTCAAAACCTGACCCTCACCGTCCATCAGACCGCCATCCTGGAGTGCATCGCCACCGGGAACCCCCGGCCCATCGTGTCCTGGAGCAGGCTGGGTACTAACTCTCATTCTTTAGCTGGAAACCTGAGAATAAACCAGAGTAGATCAAAAACCCTGAGATCTGACAGACCTAATACCAAATTCCCACGAATTTCTAACCATGCCTAAAGGTGGATCTAATGCAACAGAGAAAGAAAAAGAGAGAAAAGAGAGTCTGTGGACACAGCCAGAGACTTCAATACAAAAGTATAGCTCTAAAAGGAACAAGACAATCAGTAATTTACTAGATCATATGATGGCATACTGTTAGCCAGATTCTTTAGTTGGAAAACTGAGAATAAACCAGAGTGAAATGACATTTATTGGACACAGTTAGAGTAATCATAGCTGGGCTCTCACTCTGTGTCTCAGTGGGCAAAGAGCCCTGAGATCTGGGTGATGGGCATTATCTCCTGGGCTCCATCCGCCTCCTCAAAGGAGGACTGGACACAACCAAGTCCTATTGGCCAGTTACCTCTGGGCAGGAACAGGCCAGGTCCTAATTCATCCAGATGACAGGAATGTGCTAAGAAATGGAAAAGAGAGAAGAGAGAGTCTGTGGACACAGCCAGAGACTTCAACACAAAACATAGTTATAAAAGAAAATAAAACAATCAGTAATTTACACAGATCATGTGATAGCATACAATGCTAAAGTCAAATACATGCAAAATAAACAGGGAATCAACACAAAAAGCAAACGTTTTCAGAATCAGAATCAGAATCAGGTTTATTGCCAAGTAGGTTTTCAGACTTACAAGGAATTTGCCTTGGTGTTTAGTGCACAACACAACACTTCTATGAGAAGCAAGAATAAAAAGTAAAAATAAAGATATAGGGCAGAATGATAAAACTGAAAAATACAATCTTTAAAAGTATAAATCTGAATGTACAAATTAACAATCTTTAAAAATATAGATTTGAATGTGCAAATGAACAATTTCCTTTGAAATCCATCTTTCCTCCATGTTATCCTGCAGTTTATCATCATTTCTATGAAATCCAAGCGGGATGAGCTGAAAACGTATTCCAGGAGATCTGCTGACAGACCAATTTCTATCTGTTGGTTTCTGAATATGAAGCGACTGAGTGATGCTAAAGTGAGTGACTATAGCCAGATTCTGACTCCCTGATGTGTGTATTTGCCCCCAGACGGGCGCTCCATCGGGGTGGAGGGCATCCAGGTGCTGGGCTCCGGGAACCTGATGATCTCGGACGTGTCCCTGAGGCACTCCGGCGTTTATGTGTGCGCCGCCAACCGACCGGGGACCAGGATGAGGCGCACGGCCCTGGGCCGCCTGGTGGTGCAAGGTGGGGTCTCCATCCATCCATC